TAATAAATACCTTATAATATTAGAGAGTGAATTCACTGAATTATGCATGATATTGTTGTAATGCACATGGTGTTCAAATTATAATAGTCCTTTATAAGGGGCACAATACAAAATTGCGTAAACTGATTTAGGTACCGGTAAGTCTATTAGTTTTTTTTTGGAAGAGGGCACTCTTCTATTGCTAGTGCTCTAACAAATTATAGGGGAGTGGGTTATCTTGTTAATATTATAATATCTTTGTCAGTTACCCAACTAGAAACAGTTTCTTTACTATGCTTTTACTATATATTCCACACACATCTCATTCCAATCCATAACACTTTGTAAAACGATCACACACTCACCACCCTCAGGGGCGGATCCAGAGATGCTCAAAAGAGGGGCCGAAAGTGGGGTTGATTGAGATAATACTACCCTAGGGGTATCCCCAGCGAAATTTTTGTGTTCTAAACGCCTGAAAATAACCTCTGAGGCGTTTGGGTAATCAATTTTTTCTTCTTCTTTTTTTTACCTTCCAAAAGGCTGAATCCGTCACTGACTCTCAAATTATTCGTCTTCACACCCATATATATCTACTAGACCTACAACTAAACATGATTGTCTTGCAGGAAACAAGTAAAAGAGTCACAAAGCAAATTTACACACCAAACAGTTACACTGACTTTATGAGGTCATTAAATAATTGCTTTATCCAGTTGTGAACTATCCAAAATCATATATATTATTGCACAAGGCACTGTATAATGCACACCCTACGGTCTATAAATTGAGCAATATCAGGCACGCAGGCATCAACTACAGACATGACTTTAATATTGAATCTAAAGGTCATAACCTGTTCTTTTTTGCAATGAGCTAGTAATGATAATTACATCCATAAAAACTTTGAAGTACAATTTGTTTAAGAAAAAAAAAAAAGCATTATAAGCATTATAGCATGCAAGTATCATTAAAACAGAAATTCTATATATAGATGGTTGACCTATGACATTAAATCCTTTTGCAATAAAACTGGATCAGTAGTGTTCATGACTATGTTACAACATAAATCTGATGTTATGGGGTACCAAATAGCTGGGTCATATTTACACAGGTAGGCATACATTGCGCGATTGTTACATATCTCGTTGGGAGTTCCCGACTATTATCTAATCAATCAACAGTAAAAATCAGCAGAGGAATTTGTGAAATATACATCACCAATTTAAGCCATATTTTTGGCTTCCATCTGACAGATAATAAAATTTGCCTAAACAACCTTCCAAATAATAACTTTTGGACGATTCATTAAAAATTTAAAATAAAAAAAAAATTGTGATAATTGACACTACTAGACATTGTATAGTACCATGCATAGATGTTGATTGTTTTAAGGGAGGGAGAAGGGAAAGGGAGGGGGGAAAGGGGAAG